CTTTGCCGCAGTTCCAACACTTCCCTTTGATAGACCTAACCTTCGAGTTCGGCCTCTTCTTTACTGATTTCGACCGATTCCTGTTCTGGTTCCCTTTCTTCTGGCTTCTGCCTCTCTGCTCGAAACTTAGGGCTGAACCTGAACCTTCTGATTCGGACGATTTCCTTCTAACCTCCTCGGATAGAATCATGCTGACAACCTCACTCAGCTTCAACTTCTCTTTCCCCGCCGAATTGCTGATTGCCGTCACACAACCCGCCCAACTATCCGACAACTGCCATAGTAGTAGAAGGGCCTGCACTTCGTCATCGAACATGATGTCCACGGAGATAAGTTGATCAACAATCGTGTTGAACTCGCTGAGGTGCATTGTGAAGGACCGTCCTTCTGCCATCTTGAGGTTGAAAAGAGTTTTGACTAGATGCACCTTGTTTGCTGCTGACGGTTGCTCGTACATCTTCGCGAGCGCTTCCATAAGCCTCACCGTCGTCTTCTCCTTCAGAATATTATGGGCTACTGATTTGGCGAGAGATAACCGGATTTGCCCTAGAGCCTTCCTATCCAGTACCTCCCAATCACCATCTGACTCCTCTTTCTTCTTTCCCATTTCCTTGCCCATCAACGGGCGATACAAGTCCTTCTAGTACAGATAGTCCTCCATCTGCGACTTCCAGTAGGCGAAGTCTGAACCGTCAAACTTCTCGATCTTTGATTTGCTTTCCTCTGTCACGGCTTTCACACAAATTGTTGAACGAAGCTCTGATACCAGTTGTTGGGAATTCGAAACAATCAATCGAACCCTTGCCCTTCCGGACCTTGTGTTGAAAGTAGGAAAGTAGGAATAATACCACAAATAAAGATCTAACCTTGCAAAAACAGTAAAGGAGACGAACACACAGATTTAACGAGGTTCGGCAACGTGCCTACGTCCTCGGGAGCCACACCACACAATTCTTTTATTAATTGAAGAAGAAAATACAAGCTCTCAGACAAGGGATTAATCCCTCTGAGATTCTCTCTCTCTTTTCTGTCAAAAAGCTCTCTTTTTCGTGTTATGTAAACCCTAAAACGTTTGGGGGTATATATATAGAATCCTGGTTGAAACAGATTCCTAAACAGACCAGAAAACTGCCAAAATTACTCGCTGTCGACCGCCGCGGTCGACCGCCGGTCTCGCAGTCGACTGCCACGGTCGACCGTCTACAAAACCCAAGACCAAAATACTTACAGGGTTGGCGCGGTCGCCCGCCATCAGCTTCAGCTCCTTCCCAGATTCTGTGCACGTTCGCGGTCGACCGCCGCGGTCGACCGTGGATCTGTCTGCTTGTTTTTCTGTCTTTTTGATTCCAGCCTTCGTCCGGACTTTGGGTGTACACCTTAGACTAACACACCTAAAAAGTTAAAAACACCTAAATTGTTAAAAGTTTTTCTCAATTTTGTTTTTGACTTGCATGCAAATAATCACCCCTTAATTCATTCAAAAACAGTTGCAACTAAAAAACTGCTTTCTAAAGAAAGATATAGTGAAAAGCTGAAGTATCGAAATTTGTTTCTTAGTTTCAAAAGTAGTTATATGCGTTATTAGATTCGTTGTAGTTATCAAGCAATTTTTGTTAAGTTCACATAGAAATGAGATAAAATTAGGTAAATTAATAAAAAGTTCGAAATGTGTTTTATCAGCATTGGGCCTTGCAAAAAAAATCAGATCTAATCATTGCCAAAGAGTAAATTGAAGATGATAAAAGGCTAAAAGCTATTGCAGAAATAAATTTCATGTGAATTCATATATTGTAAAAATATTTACAGACAGACTTGTGCTCTTGCAATTTACTGTTTTATCTGTACATCAATGGCAATGAAAAAAAAAGGGAAAAATGCTTCCAGCCCCCAAAACCTAAAGAAACGTGCTTCCCACCCCCAAGACTTTGTCAACGGGTGTTTTACCCCCAAAAATAAAGATTCTGTTCTCTGAGCCCCCAAAACACAAAACCCAATAGATTATAATATGTGAAGACCATAATACCCTTCTCTCTCTCTCTTATTAAAATATGATGAGGATTATTTTATTATTTTTGTTTTCTCTCTCTCTTTATCATGATGTACTGAGATGATAGTTGAAATGATTGATGAGGATTATTTTATTATTTTCTTTTTTTTTATTTTTGTTGTTTGTATTGGGAGATTGTTAAAGTTACGGGTTAATTGTTAATGTTACGAGTTAATTGTTAATGTTACGGGTCAATTGTTAAGGTTATGAATCATCTCTCTCTCTCTCTCTCATAATGTTACTTTGATATTGAAATGATTGAAGAGGACTATTATTTTATTATTTTTGTTTTTTATTATTTTCGTTGTTTGTATTGGGAGATTGTTAAAGTTACGGGTTAATTGTTAAGGTTACGAGTTAATTGTTAATGTTACGGGTCAATTGTTAAGGTTATGAATCCTCTCTCTCTCTCTCTCTCTCTCTCTCTCTCATGATGTTACTTTGATATTGAAATGATTGAAGATGATTATTATTTTATTATTTTTATTTTTTATTATTTTCGTTGTTTGTATTGGGAGATTGTTAAAGTTACGGGTTAATTGTTAAGGTTACGAGTATTATTTTATTATTTTTGTTTTTTATTTTTTTCGTATTTTAGAATATTCGTTGTTAAGGATAATGGTTGGTTGTAAAGGTTATGTATTGATTGTTAAGGTTACGAGTTGGTTGTTAAGGTTTCGGGTTTGTTGTTAAGGTTATGGGTTTGTTGTGTAGGTTACGAATTTGTTGTTAAGGTAACGGGTTTAATTGTTAAGGTTACGTGTTTAATTGTTAAGGTTACGGGTTTAATTGTTACGGTTACGGTTTATTAATTATTAAGGTTACGGTTTAATTGTTAAGGTTACGGGTTTAATTTTTAAGGTTACGGGTTTAATTGTTAAGGTTATGGGTTTAATTGTTACGGTTACGGGTTTAATTGTTAAGGTTACGGGTTTAATTGTTAAGGTTACGGGTCAATTATTAAGGTTATGGATCCCTTCTCTCTCTCCCTCGTAACCTTAACAATTAAACCCGTAACCTTAACAATTAAACCGTAACCTTAACAATTAAACCGGTAACCATAACCATTAAACCCATAACCTTAAAAATTAAACTGTAACCTTAACAATTAAACCGTAACCTTAAGAATTAAACCCGTAACCTTAACAATTAAAACTGTAATCTTAACAATTAAACTCGTAACCGTAACAATTAAACCCGTAACCTTAACAATTAAACCCGTAACCTTAACAATTAAACCGTAACCTTAATAATTAATAAACCGTAACCGTAACAATTAAACTCGTAACCTTAACAATTAAACACGTAACCTTAATAATTAAACCTGTAACCTTAACAATTAAATCCGTAACCTTAACAACAAATCCGTAACCTACACAACAAACCCATAACCTTAACAACAAACCCGTAACCTTAACAACCAACCCGTAACCTTAACAATCAATACATAACCTGTACAACCAACCATTATCCTTAACAACGAATATTCTAAAAATACAAAAAGAATTAAAAACGAAAATAATAAAATAATAATCCTCTTCAATCATTTCAATATCATCAAAGTAACATCATGATAGAATAATAAAATAATAATCCTCTTCAATCATTTCAATATCATCAAAGTAACATCATGATAGAGAGAGAGGATTCATAACCTTAACAATTGACCCGTAACATTAACAATTAACTCGTAAACTTAACAATTAACCCGTAACTTTAACAATCTCCCAATACAAACAACGAAAATAATAAAAAACAAAAATAATAAAACAATCCTCATCAATCATTTCAACAATCATCTCAGTACATCATGATAAAGAGAGAGAGAAAACAAAAATAATAAAATAATCCTCATCATATTTTAATAAGAGAGAGAGAGAGAATGGTATTATGGTCTTCACATATTTTAATCTATTGGGTTTTGTGTTTTGGGGGCTTAGAGAACAGAATCTTTATTTTTTAGGGTAAAACACCCGTTGACAAAGTCTTGGGGGTGGGAAGCATGTTTCCTTAGCTTTTGGGGGCTGGAAGCATTTTTCCCCAAAAAAAAAGGGGTCAAAGTTTTGACTAGTGACAGAAGGTTGTCGTATGGAAGAGTACAGCCTGGAATGGCCTTGTATTGACCAACAGTCTATCATCTAAGGGCAAATTATCAAAGGTACTCCTTTGTCTTTCACGATAAGCAAATGCAAATGAAAGTACATCATGTAATTGTACATTAGATAGTATAAAATCAATAGATGATTAAAAGCTTTATCTTGAAGGTAGGCTTATCATGTAATTGTACATTAGATAGTATAAAATCAATAGATGATTAAAAGCTTTATCTTGAAGGTAGGCTTCAATAGAGTGTATACCTTTCAAATCCAAAAATCAATAGATGATTAAAAGCTTTATCTTGAAGGTAGGCTTCAATAGAGTGTATACCTTTCAAATCCACGACAATGATTAACTTTGCTGATGGCAAAATGGATGGCCAAGCAAATCATGACCTGGACTTACGTTCCATTATGTTACCATCTTCGTTTATTCCGCTTGTGTGCTCGTTATAGCTATCATTTTCAACCCGAAATTTCCTGTGAAGATCTTTGAGAATACGGGATTTATCAGCTTTCTCACAAATGCAGTCTCCGGCTCCCATACAGTATCATATTTGTTGCTGGCATTAATACCTTTTTAACGGAATAATTTTAACATTTTGTCAATCAGGTGTTCCCTACTCCAGTTGACTGAGAGATAATGGTATAAACTTGAAAATCAACACTTAACGTCATCGAATTTAGAGAGTAAAAATATGATGCTTTTAACTCCGTTGATGCGTAACGGATCATAGTCGAACATTGTTGCTCATGCAGGACGTAACCAACGCATAAACCGAACAAATACTAGGGATGCTAGCACATGCCTTGTTATCCATGTTTGCCAAAAGTACTTTACATATCAACCCCCGAACTTTACATATCAATCCCCCAAAAGTTTTCCATTTCAGAAAATTATTCTTAATTTACTCTTACAACAAAATTAATCAATTTTAACAAAATGTGTATCTTTTCTGTCTTTACAAATAACAGATGCCACGGGACATATCTAGAGGAAAACAAGATAAAACACAGCAACCAAAAAAATTACAAGAAGAAGAAGAATACAAAACAAGTTACAACCTCAGTGCCGCAATTGTTTCAGGTTTGAAGTCCAATCTCAGACCTAAAACCCTTCTCACCTCAGAAGGAGTTAGTAACCACGTCATATGCCCAGCATTCTCCCCCCAGAAATCCAAAATCTCAGATACTCTCTCGAAATTCAAAATCGTCGTCATCTGTGACAGACGAGCAAACTTATCTCGTACTGGCCTCTGCGACATCTCAGAGAAATGATTAACCAGTGCTCTAACTTCCCTATCAAGCTGAAGCCCACCAAGCTGGCTGAATCTTTTTTGCATCATGATTACTTCCAATCTCTTCACAATGAAATCAATAACCAAATGAACGAAAAGATCATAGTTGTTTGATGTCATGAAAGGCTGCAGCCAAAATATATTGCTCTCAACAGCATGAAGAAGCTTCTGGACCCATGGATCATTCATTTCATTTTCTTCATATTCAGCATCTGAGAGCTCGTAGCTGATGGTTGCTACAGTGTCCAGAACTGGGCGGATACGAGGTGTGATAGTTGATCCCAGCTGCTCCATCCCTGCATTTAGTACTTGTTTGAAGACATTGTGCATCTCAGCAAACTCAGATAAGCAGGTTTTGACTTTCTCTCTATCTACTGGAGCAGGGAATACCTGATTGACAAAATGTGAAATTGGATGAGAAAGCTAGGAAAGCTATTACAGAAAAGTGAACTTGAGAAAAATAAAACCATTTGACCTGTCTCAACAAACTCAGAGACAAGCTTAGAGATAATGCCATTTTTGGGCTGAAACCCCTTTTCCCATAAATTTCCCAATACAATCTCTTTTACAATTTTCTCAATCACCTCTAATCCTGGGGTGAAAACGCTAATCTGGATAAAAAAAATCTAAACCAAACTCAATCCAACATTAGCATGTTTGGACGGATAGAGAACAGTCAGTTTTGGACCCAAACCCCTTTTTCCATAATTCTCCCAGTAAAATCTCGTTTACAGTACTCTCAATCACCTCTAATTATGGGAATGGAAACACTAACCTGAATAAGAAATCTGAACCAAACTCAATCTAACATTAGTATGTTTGGACGGAAACACTAACCTGAATAAAATAATCTGAACCAAACTCAATCCAACATTACCATGTTTGGACAGACACACGCACGCGCATGCACCCACACACCCACATGCACACACGCACACAAATTGGGAATGGTCATAACTGGGTCAACCCATCTTTTTCCCCTCACAAGGGTATCCAAGTCTCTTGTGCACATTGCAGCCGCTTGGATCAATTCATCTTCTTTTCATAATTGTGAACAAGAAATCTACTCGACAAGCCTTGACAGTGCAAAACAAGAATATCAAATTATGGTCTTATGTACCTGCTCTCTTGATAGCTATTAAATATGGTACATATATTGAATTTAATTGGAAAATTACTCATGTGGATTAAATTAGGTGGAACTACTTGCTGAATCTTCGTCCAGATCCTGGATTCTTTGTTCAAGGTAGCAGAATTGTACTTTAAGATTTTGAATTCCAATGATCAGCCTCATTACCTGGACCAGTATCTGCAGTGGTAAAGTGTTCCTCTTTTACAATAACAAATCCTTTATCCAAATGATTGGGTCAGCTACATGAATCTTGTTTTATTGCAATCGAGACCACCATACTGACATCTTGCAACCAGCATATCTGCCTCAATCGAGCATCGCTTTGATCTAACCTAAATCTAGAAGCATGTTTTAACTGAGGCAACATAACACACTGACAGACAACAAAATCAGAAGGAAGTACATATGAACAACAATGACATGGCAAAAGAGTTGTGTCCTGTGTGCACCTCTGATACGAGACGACTTCATAACAGAAGTTTTTATGCTTTATAGAGCTTACCTACTATCAGGCATGATTCAACATCTAAAACAACCTCAAAGGACTCTTTAGGGTTTATCCTTGGTGAAGCTACCTTTAGACCCTTTAAAATATTAATATATCTTAAAACTTCAATCATGTCTTGACAAAATGTTTCTCAAGTTCCCAAGAAACTGATGCACAAGAGCTGTTAAATGAAATTTAATGATAACAAGTCATCGGCAACAATTCTTCAAAACTTACCAATCTTTCTAAGCCAGAGGCCGATAATACCTCTTCAGAGGCTAAGTTGATGACTAAATATTTTCAATATTAAAGTTTGTTAATAAAAAATCTAAAGAAATTATCCTCACTTGGGCATCCAGAAGTTAATATGAGATAGGTTTTGGCCATTATGCAAAGATCTTTGGATATCACAGATGAGAACGCTGATCTTGAAATTGCTCATCTTCAGGTTCTCAGCTTAAGTCAGAGCATTATTAGATGGTTTCCTCGAGGGTAAACTATAATGCACCAGGACTATTATAATAAAGACTGATAAGTGGTGAGCTGTTGCATCGCGTCAGCTTTTCAGAAGAATGAAAGGATATTAAGCATAGTGGAATAATTTACGTCAACAACTACATATTTTAGCGGAACTGGCTGCGGTAATTCTTCACATTTTCAGGGAACAAAATGAACTTTTAGTGTATATTGAAAATTTAGATGCATGAATTGCAACCTATATACCGGGGGATATGGAAAGTATAGCAAAACTTCATTGGCTCTGCTAGCCTAATAGACCATGAGCAAGACTAGGTACAAAGGAGAACCAACGAGCATTATAAGGATCTAAGGAATGAGATCGAAATTCCAGCTTGTAAATTGTTGCTGGATTATCCTAAGTGGCCAGAGAGGTTAGAGAAAATAAAGAAATAAGATGGTACAAAGAAGGAAATTAGGATGTTCAAAAATGGTAAACAGACGCATCCCAAGTTCGTATTTATATTTACAACCTGAGTTCTCTTAAAATAGGAGAATACTAGCCTGGTAAATATGTCTACACAACCACAGTGCCACACAAAGAAAAACCACTAAAGGCATGGATCATCAGAAAGGATTCACGCTCTAGCTTAAAAGGCGAGACAAAAAATAAGTGTACTCTTCTACAAATATGAATAATTACCTTTTTCCACTAAGACAGGATATTCACATTCAAATGATATTTCAGAGTGAACTAGAATATAAAAAAAAAGGATGTTATACATTCTAAGCAACTCCACCATTGAGTATAATCGGTGAGGAAAATTTTGAGGTTTTTTTACTATTGCAGTCGGACAGATAATTTGGCCATTGCTACATGGTAGGATTACTGGTAAGTTACAACGATTATATATGTTTCAACGTGGTTGTTTAGGTCACATTAAGAGGAATTATCAGAAAAATGGAAAACACAAGCGTTCAGGAGAAGTTGGATGCAATCATCTGAAATTACTAAAATAAAAACTTATTCAACTTTCAAATAGAAGTGTAGAAATCATGCACGTGTTAAACAACCACAGTTGATTTTTTTTTTTTGAGACAAAAAACGAACATAATTGTATGACACTAACATTGAATTTGGCTTCAGTTTTCACAAATCCACCATTAAAAGAAACTTGAGTCATGAATATCACCATAAGCAAGAACTAACAAAGAAATGGAATAGGAAAAACTAAGCTCACCTGCCCACATTGCTCCTCAATTTCATGCCGGAGCTTCAACACATATTCTGCGCTCACATCAATGTTGTTCAAAGCAGTAGCAATCTCCGTCCCGGTCTTCTGCACGCCAACACCCCCCAAAAACAGCTTCGCCCCCAAATTTGGTTCCCTCATCTTCTGCTGCAAAGCCTCTTGGTACTCATTGCTCAAAAGACTGGTCGCCCCACTCAACACTGCAAACACTGAATTCATACTCCCAGTCGAAATTGCTCTCCTGCAGCAGCTCTGCAGCACAAAAAACACATCATCCACCATTGATGTTGTCAGACCATCTAGTTGCTGCTCATCGATTGATATTGCCTTCCTCACATTCTCCACCATAAAGAACTCCTCAAGGACCAAATAATACCCAATTAGCTCCTGCACCACTCCATTAAAACTCCCACTACTTAATCTCTTCACAGCCTTTGAACCAAATTCAGGATCAACGAACCCTAATCCCCTGATCTTCGACATCATGAACTCAGTATAATCCTCCCCCAAATGCATCAACGACAAGATCTCCTCCAAGTAAGTCTCCACCTCTCTCGGATCCGGTCCTTCAGGAACCCCAACGGACAACAAATTCTTGCTGCTAGAATTAATCTCGGTTGCCAACCTCGTAATCTTCCTGTAATCCATATACCTCTTCAAGATCTGCGTCCCCCTCGAATCACACTCCTCCTGCAAGCTAGAGATCGCAAACACAACTCCATCCTCCCCTCCCAAATTCCTCAAAACCTCATCATTCTCCTCAACCGCAAGCACAATATCCTTAAACAAATTCGTGAGGCAAGCAACAAAATTAGATCCAGCAGCGTCCTGCGCCGGATCTGTAGAGATCTCCTTCAAATGCTCGAATTCAAGCTTAGATCTAAAACCTACAACGCTCCTGAGATAATTAACGTAGATCTTGAGTCCATCGTCCTGCAGACCAAGCGCCGGGAGGATCCGAACAAAACGGAGGATGGCGTTGTGATCCTTGGCATCGACGGCAGCAGCGAGTTTCGCTTTAATGATCGACTCCAGCTTCGATTTGAGGGCCAGAAGTTGCTGCCGTTGTTCGGAGGCGGAGGAGGAAGGGAACTGAGCGTCGATCTGGAGGAAGGAGTGGACCGACGCGGCGGCAGAGTCGTAGTCTTCGACGTCGAGCGATCGTCGGGCGGCGTCGAGGGACTGCGAACGGTGAAGTGCGGCGTCGATGCGGGAGAGGGCGAGATGCACTCGAGACTGGGCGAGGTCGAGCTGGCGAACGCGAGAGGAGACTTGATCGGCGAGGGAGGCGGTGGAGGAGAGGGAGGAGAGGAGGAGGGACGAATCGGACCGGGCGAGGGAGAGGAGAGGGGAGGAGGAGCGGCGGAGGGCGAGGAGGCCGCGGTCGAGATCGGGGCGGGAGGAGAGGAGGGAGTCGAGGCGGACGTCGAGAGAGCGCTGGTAGGCGATGCATTCGTGGAGGAGGCGGGTCATCGTGCCGACGTCGGTGAGGGATCGGATTTGGGTTAGGGTTTCGGGGTTGCCGAAGTCGAGGGAGGTTGGGTCGGAGTTTGGGGAGGAGAGGTCTTGGGTTGGGTCTGAGTCGAGGAGGGAGGGTGGGGTGGCCGGCGGCACGATCGAGAGCACCGCCATGGGTGATCGGTTGGTGGTGGTGCTGCTGTTGAGTGAGGAGGAAGCGATGGATCTTCGCTGGAGGTAACTAACGTGGAAATGGGTATGAGGGCTCTCTCTCTTAGTATATATGTATATATAAGTATACTCTCTCTTATTTTTATATATGTATATATATATAATATATTTCTATATATGTATAATATGTCATATGTGTGTGTGTATATATACTCTCTCTTAGTATATAAGTATATATAAGTATACTCTCTCTTATATAAGCATATATATGTATAAATATATATAAGTATACTTTCTCTTATATAAGTATACTAGTATTTAAACCCGTGCAAAGCACGGTTTCTAAAAGATTTTCTGTAAATACTAAACATGTTACCAAAGTAAAGTATTCTGCTTTAGAAATGAAAGAGTAGATGTAATGCAAATAATGACATTCATGTTTGTTAATAAATAAACAAAAAAGAAGCATTAACTATATAAATACGAAAATGTTTGAAAAAATATGATTCGATTAGTCTCCCTTCTCCCTTCCTCAATTTCTAGGGTTTCGTCGCAATCAATGGCAGATCGAGCAATAGCAACATCAGCGACAAAGCCAATATGGATGAAGCAAGCAGTGGGGGCCAAAATCAAGAGCAAGGCCGAGAAACCTTAGAAAAAGCATGCATTTATATAATTCAATGGTGTTAACATGACTAACATAATCAATTAATGAATGCTTCTAATACTATTAACATACAGTACCTACAAAAATATATATTAATTAGTGACATAATCTTCTTTAACCAAAAACTCAAAGAATCATGGTTATATGAGTACGCACTGTGATTTTGCCTTGTATATGTACGTTTTGAGAGTTAGTTAACAATAAAACTAAAATTAAATTAAATGGCTTAATGGCGATCCGTGCAAAGCATAACTTTATATATAATAGTGAAATGACAATCTTTAAAAAATAGACAAATGACAAAGAAACTACAGTTTTATGCAAGAATAAGGAAATGAAATCATACCTCAAAGTAAACAGAGAAATAGAGTGCAAATCCAAGATGTACTGGCTATGAATATGGGCATAAGCAATTTTCTAAGTCTTCATATAGGCAGAGTACTTTTTTCCCCAACTTCTTTTTTGGTAAGTATTCCATGGTTTGTTTTGCTGAATGTATTAAGTTAAAGATCTCTACATCCATGGAGTTGCTTCCAAGCTCATTTGAGGTATGTATGGTTTTAAGAATCCCTCTATGATAAAACCAAAACTAAGCCAAACCAAGAGGTTAACCTTCATATCATGCCAGTTATTTTCTCAACACATTTACATTTACAATGATTACTGCGAGAAAAGTTTAACAAAACATGGTGCAAAGCACAATACATCCTTTTATAATTACCTTTATACTCAAACAAAATTATTATATCCTTGTCCTTTCTTCGTCTCCTCCTGCTCAGTAGGCGGCATAGCCAGCCACATATTCTTGAAACAAAGTACCATAATCAGTACATTTCGCTCCTCAATGATTATCTAATATAAAAGTATGTAACATAAAGTAATCTAAGAAGTGCAGATCAATATTAATTACCTAAAAAAACTAAATAATTACATAATAGTAACCCAACTGACAACCATTACTACTTATAATCAAAACAATTAAAGAGGAATAATAGAGGGGTGTGT